ACAACAACTATCAAGGGTATCATTACCTCAACAGCCGTAGAAGGTTCTATTGCAACAGTAACACAACAAGCCACAGAGGGGGTAAGTAACGCTCAGAACATCGAGAACATCTTAATTACTATAGCAGTAACCACCGTATTGGGGATCGCTGGAGCCGGAATCCAACAGTGGAGACTTAGAAATTTAGATAAAGAAAGAAAAAAACAGGGAGATATAATTAACGACCAACAAAGAGAACTTCAAAACTGCAGGATCGCATATGAACAACGATTTGTAGGAAATGCAAAAGCCCCACCTCCATCGTACCAACCAATATCAATAGTACAAAACAGCATCACCAGAGGAAACACATCTTTAGTAACCAACCCTTTTAGTAATCTATATGCCGTCCCTCAATAATACAACCATTGGAAACCAACTGACACCGACCGACATCGAAGAACAGCATATAAATTTTGTAAATACAATAATATCAGCAGTGCTTATAGGAATCGCTATTATATCGATATTTGTGGGATACATTTATTATTATAGAAGGCGACTTAAGAGAGCAACTGGAGGAGCATCCTTAGATGACATAGAGACAACTCAAAGGATATACAACAATACAAGAAGAGCCTACCGCTTTTAAAAAAATATATATATAAAATAAAAAATAAGCATATCTGTAATACCTTTACCGACAACAATGATAACAACAACATTCATTTCAACAGCAACTAACATAATTAACTCAGTAGTGACATCAGTGACAACCGCAACAGCAACAACAACAGCAGTACCAGAAGGAGGAATATTTGTAACAACGACAGCAGAAATAATTATTACAACTGTTTTTGCAGTAGGAACAGCAATTGGGGGACTAGTATACCAGAGATATTCGCGTATACAAAAACAAAAAAACAAAACTGACGAGCTAAAGGAATTAAAACAAGTGGTAATAAAAGTAAACGATTCTAATAATGGGTGATATATTTTTCATACATGACCGACTCATGGTAGGAACGAAACAAGAAGTTAAAAAGGAACAACCCAAAGAAGAACAACCAAAGAAGAAAACTGATGACCCTAAAATAGAACGATTGTATACAACATTTATTGATGTTGGATTAAATGTGGATAGACTAACTCAATTACACTCATTATTGAAGAAACAAAACCCAAGGAATGAAAATAGAATCGCAACAGTAGTGAAAGCACTCCGGCGATATAACCAAGTAGTATTACTTACACAAATGAAATAGATATAAAATGTATTCACTTTATTTTCCATAAATATATCAAATAAAAGCTTATAAATTTGTTACAAAGAGTTATTTAAATTTAATACACTCGACTAACAAATGAGTACAGAGATGACTGATAAAATCATCTAATGCTAGAACATGATAATAATGATTATGAGTAGTAACATTTCGATTAACTTCTATGATAAAAAGATGAAGACCTTCGAGATTAAGGAAAAGAGAAAAAATGACGAAATGAGATGACCTCTTAAGAGCATTGATATTGCGATCACCGACTTCACTAGGTAATGTTTCAGATTGATAAGAAGTAATATAACGAATAAACTGAGAAAAGGATGGATGGTCACTTAATATGCTCGAGACAGACCTCTGATAATCAGGAGAAACCAAACGAAGGTAAGAAAAACCAGGTTGAGTAGGAGAAGCAAATAAATTACGAACACTTCTAAGAGAATTAGATTCAGATTGAGAAACCATTGTACCAGCAGAAGGGATAACAGAGGATTGAACATGGTTAATTAAAATTTCCAATTTAGGAACGATTTCTTGAAGGTAAAGGAAGACTTCTTTATAAACAAAATAAATCGCAAAGGTTAAGAAGAAGATCGCGATAAAGAAGAAAATATTTGAAATAACTTGAAACATTTTTGTAAAAATGAGGGGAGGATATAGCGAACAACAATGATTTATAAAATTAACAGAAAGAAACTTTAAGAATAAAATGGAAATAAATGAAAACGAACCAATAAGAGAATAAAAGAAGTTTTTGGAAGGATTCAACATAACGAACCAATAAAAGAAGAAAAGAATAAAATAGAAAGAAAAAGAATGATTGAAATTAAAAGAAACTTTTGGAAGGTAAAAGAAAAAATATTAACCAATCGTAGCAAACAAGAATGGTTATAAAAGACCTGCCTGTCAGATCAATTTGAGAACCAAGAAATAAAATGACAAATGAATTCTGAAGAATTTCAAGAAAAACAAGAACAAATAAAGGTTAAGAGAGAAAGATTTCAGGAGGATCAAAAGATTATCGAAGCATACAGGAAACTTAAAGAAGAACGAAAGAAACAAGGATTCCAATTAACAGTTATAAGAAAAGGAAGAGATATCGAAGGAATCGAATCACCACACAGAAAAGGAAGAATATTTAAATTAGAGACAGAAGAGCAGAAAGAAGATTTTAGGAAAATATTGAAAACACCTTTAGAGAAAATAAAGAAAGCAAAAGGAGGAATAACAAAAAAGAAAGTTACTATTATCGGAAAAAGATACGAGAAGATACAAAC